TTGTTTTTGAAACATCAATATTGACAGTAGCGGGTGACCTAGCCTAGGTGAACACTACCAAGTTCGTCTGATTTCCCGATGAACGTCAGTATGTCAAGTGATTACGTTCTCAATCGCGTGGAGACATACGGAACTACTATAGGGGAATTCCTCTATGTCTAAAAATAACATTAAAAATAATTAGGGAAAACTGAAAGCGACATCGATTTAGGCTATGAATGATGCAGGCTTTGAAGTCAGACAGATCATGTGTATGTCGGGTCACCGAAATGAAGCGTCGATTCGAAGCTATAACAGAGAATGCTCGACTTACTAAAAGAAATCACTGAGTTCCATATCGTGCCTCAGTAAATCCAACCGCGCCGCCTCAAGCGGTAATCCCCGTCATCAGCAGCCGTAGTATGACTAAAACACACACCAAACGTTCACAGAACGTTAATATGTATTCATTTTCAGCATGAGCCGGGTCTAGATTTCTTTCCAATTCCACCGCTAACTTTACTGGGTGCAACTTGTATTTCAAGCGAATGACATTGCGGTAGCCGCCATTTTCTGCCGTTTGTAAAACCAAGGGATGTCACTTCAAATGGAATGTTTGGGACGGATGACGTCACGACTCTCCGCGTTGATATAGTTCGCCATAAATAATTAAAGTTTGATGTTTACTGGATTGTTTTGTCATGATTTATGTATCTGTCAATATAAGGATTGAAGTTGTATTTGTTGACGTTCAGCAGCTGATGAAGACAGTGCCTCACGTGAGCAAATTTACCATGAAGCACTTCCCACATCATGGAATTTTCTCACGTGAGGCACTGTCTTCATCAGCTGATGAACGTCAACAAATGCAACTTCAATCCTCAATTGGAAGTCCACATCTATTCATCATTAAACACTGAGCAAAATAAACTTTTTGCCCTGTGAATAGTGGATAATATTTTGGATGACTGGATTTATCCCCACCCTGAATGCAAATACCAGGTTACTTGGGTTCTGCAGTAGTCTCCAAGCCTGTGGGTCCAAGGTCATGTGACAAGTCATGTGCTAGGTCAGAGTTGAACTGGCCACTGGAACAGTTGATAACTTGCTGACTGGCTTATCTACACTGCTAACCAGCTTACATGTGCTACACACTTGAACATGTCGCAGCAGCGGCCTGTTTTTCAAATACAGGAGTTTTTTACTTACACAGGCAGGCTGTCATATCATAGTTGGGAATGACAGGATTGATAAATACTGCTTTTTTTAAATCATGTTGCTCAGTCGTCTTGTTTATTTGACATAATTTAAAGAAAAATATAAATCTTAACAAGATTTGATGAAAACATTTATTTTAATTGCCTTGATAGTATTGACAAGTTATTAATATTTTTGGGTTAGTTTTTGCCCAAAATTGGATCATTAATATTAAATCTATGGTAGGATATAAATTTTTCTATGAAATAGGTTATTGGTAAATTGACTTCAGTTTTGTGGTACGCCCTGCATGAGACTTGGTCTCGCCATGGAAACGTGAAGCAGTTGGTCAGTGAAGCATAAATTCCTGCAGGGAGTTGTCCATTGCTACACAGGAAGTGAGGCACAGACCGTGACGTGATTTTCTCAGCTGGTGATCATTGGACTATTTCTCCACCTGGAGTTGAACAACCACAGCATGTCAATGGGATACCAGCTTCATTCACTTCATTTTTTCATGTTGTCAAGGTTAAAGACAATGTTGTTCACTGATTGACAGTTTGGAAGTGTCCCTCGAGCCAATGAGATGTGTGCTGTGAGCTGTCTCCTGATGCTATTCTGATCACGACAGTTGGGTTGATATGCTGGACTTGTGATTTCCTTCACTGCAAGTGGATCGGATGTGCTTTGTTTGACATTACAACATTTGTGAATATTTCGGCTGATCTATAACGTATATCTACTGTGATAGCGTGGATATTGCAGACATATCTGGATTTTGATTCAGTTGCAATTTGTGGAAATATCGAGGGTCGTTTGGATTGTATAGAGGAAATGGTGTAGATTGTGAGGACATTGTAAACAGGATTCAAACCACTACTGTTCTGTTGGTGCTACGCTGTCATCATGTCGTACAGTTCCGATGATGACGATGAAGTTTTTCATTTTGTATGCAAATTCCGTGGACCAATCAAGAGCCGTCCAGTTCTCTTATCGGTAGGAATATATTTTCTCAAAATCTCCCTGTCAGGTATATTTTAGATTTTATCCAAATAAAATGTTATTTTGTCCCTTGTTAAAGGGCCAACACATGTTGTGTACAAATTAAGTATATCCTCTGTCAATTTATTGAGTATGTACTTTGTACAGTATAATAACAGAACTCCATCGTTTAATATATATGTTTATATTATGTACATAAGTTTTTTGAAACATAATACAATATGTGAATTATTTGTTGATACACACCCTGGATGATGTTCAAAATTTAATTTGCATCCAACAAAAGTAAATAAACAGTAACTTATCCTCTAAATTTCCTGTCAGCCTGATCTCATCCCGACTCCCAGTGTAATTTAATAGCACTGAAGTGATACAAGGTCCGACAATAACAGCTTAGACCAACCCTATATTAAAGGGAGGGGCACCTGCTAGGCAAAACATTGATCATTAGTGGTGGCCGTCCTTGCCTGTCCTGTCTACTGACCAGGGATGAAAGGGTGTTTCCCCCAGATAATACTGATTAGTCTGGCTTGAGGCAGTTACACCTGGGTGTTGACACACAAGACACAACCTGAATATGAATGTACACCAGGAGGAGGAGGAGGAATAGGCTGTTCTACTTGCTGGGCTTGTGGGACAGAGCCTAGTTTCCCTGGTCCAGGTGACATTGTATTTTCCAACATGGCAATTTTTAGAATGTGATTCACTTTTGCAATTTATAAAATTGCCAAATTTTTCTATTAAAAATTAACTGCAAATATCTGTCATTTATTTGATAGATTGACTAAAAGGCTTAAAAACTTCCCCAGACTATTTTCATCCCCAGATTAGATTAAAAGCCCAACAAAAAAATAAAGATAAAATATACCTTGACTTACCTTCTTCTTTTTTAATCCTATCATTTTCAGTTACAGGGTGATGAAATTAAACATCAAAATGTTTGGAATTTGTTATCGTAATAAAAAAAATGGACTGATGTTTCAGTCAATTTACAAATAACTGAAATTTTAGGCATTTCGTAAATTGCTTTTGTGAAAATTTCAGTTATTTTACACATTGACTGTCACATATGTACCTGCCCAGCTCATTCAGTCTAAGTAAAGTAGAATTTTTTGTTCACATGGATAAATTATACATTTTCTATAGATTTTGCGTTTTTGTTGTCTGGAAAGTTATTTTCCTGATCTGCATATAATTAAATTATTTGTTTTTTCGTTCCTACCACCTCACTACCAAACCCCTGGTCTCACATCACTTTATTGTCCCCTACCTAAGAAGGTGCTACATGTGTAGCCTTGTTTCTTTACCAGATACAATACACCATGCATACAGTGCCACCAAACATCCAGACTTCGTGTGAATCCACATATCCACAGTTAATGTTCCCTGGCTTAATAAAAGTATGAGCACTTGTACCGAAGTGTCATGTTCAAAGAGTAAAGAATTGGAAATCAACACGTCAACCATGTCTTTTGGATGCTACATCTTCCAATTGCCACTTTTCTGGCGTCGCCCGCCGTGATATTGCTGGAATATTGCTAAAAGCAGCGTAAAACCATGCTCACTCACTCTAATTGCCACTTTTCTGGCGTCCCCCGCCGTGATATTGCTGGAATATTGCTAAAAGCAGCGTAAAACCATACTCACTCACTCTAATTGCCACTTTTCTGGCGTCCCCCGCCGTGATATTGCTGGAATATTGCTAAAAGCAGCGTAAAACCATGCTCACTCACTCTAATTGCCACTTTTCTGGTGTCCCCCGCCGTGATATTGCTGGAATATTGCTAAAAGCGGCGTAAAACCATACTCACTCACTCTAATTGCCACTTAAATATATGATACATGTATGAGAAGAATATGTTATATTACATGGAAACAATTTTTAATGTGATATTAAAACCTTTACCAAAAACAACTCTCTCCTTTTAAGTCTTTCCTTTTTAGTTTGTTGGTTTACAGAATGTTTCTCTCAAAATCTTTCATTGGGTACATCTACTGATATAAAAGTAAGATTAAATCTTTTAATAACTTTTTATTTGTTGCTTTTGTGTGAAGTTTGGGTCAGTATGATGAAAAACTAAATGCCTTTTTTGACAAATGTTTACTCGATATGTCTTAGTTTGTGTCTAGACATTCCCTTGATGAGCTAATATGGCTCCTGAACATGAGATTCATGTGACATTGTGAACTGACTTGCAGCATGTCCTGTCTTAACCCTGTTATTTTTATGGCCCCAATAAACACATGATTACAATGTGCAAAACCAGTTCTTAGTAACCTTGTAAGGTCGCAATGACTTTATCGATTCACATCACAATGCACAAAAACTGAACAATTTTTATGTATAGCAGCCACCTTAAGTTGACGCACATCATGCAATAATAAATTTTACTGAGTGTGTTACACAATGAAGTGTTATCATCTTGAACATCTTGATGGATACCAATTTTACTTCCTTGAACAACATTCACTCCTTATCCTCTCTTACAAACGGTTGGTTGGACATATCCAAATGATCTGCAAAATATTTTTGCAATGCCACCTATGGCAATTTTATTTTTGAACTTGAACCTGGGTTAAAATAATTGTTGGTCCCAAGATCTCGATTGGTTGTCATAGGAGGCAGCTCAGTTTGATTGGGTGGTGAGGCTTGGTAACTTGGTTGTTCGTACCCTTACAGCACTGAACTTTGTTCATAATATCAACCACTACTTTCTATGACCTAGATTTGATTATTTACAGGCCGCCGTGACAGAATAGGGAATTCCTGTGACTACAGCGAATAACACGCCAACATACTAAGTGTCCCATTTCTATTGCAGGATCATGATCTGAAGCAGAAGATAGACCATGAGATGAAGATGCGGGAGGGGACAGCCAAGTTGCTGGCTGCGTCCAAACACCCTGCCCAGATGCTGGAGGCTGCCAAGAACCTCCTCACTTCCAACACAAGGATTTACGCCTACATGCACGAGCTGCAGAAACGCAAGACAGACGAGGTGCTCGGCAAAAATCAGTGAGTATGAAGAAAAAAATTCATCAATGACCTGGACGCTTTTGCAATGCTTAACACATTCAAAGTGCCTGGGAGATTGTCTGAAGTTGATCAGAGAAGTATTGTCTTTCTTGCATTTTGATCACTGAAGGCAGTTTAATGAATCCAGTGAACCCTCAATACAACGTTCCTCGATGCATCACTACCTCGGATACAGTACAGGGTACCCCTTCACTCCCAAAATTCTTATGAAATTTCCCTTAAGAGTGCAATCATCCAATAAAACTGACAAATAAACTGATGAGATTTTATTCCCTGTTGTATTACCGTGAGCACATGTAACAACTGAAATACCTTGTCAGCAAGTCCATACTGAAGCATGCAAATTAATCCTGTTACACTATCTGGTTATAAAAAGTGTTCATTGAATATCTGTAATCCAACTTTCATTCAGTATCGTTGACATCGATTTCAGTGAAATCGTGTGTAAAGTGATCCAATGTTAACACACAGTATCCACTGATTCCATGAGGTTTGGGTCAAGGTAATAATGAGTTGCAGGATCTGAATGTTATTTTGTCTTTTACTGTCTATGATTAACATTGTAACTCCAGATGTCCTGTTTTTATGTGTTGAAATGGTTGATTATACATCTAATTAATTTCTTCAGATCAGTGGAAGGCAACCAACTGCCATGCACAGCAAAAGTTAGCGTCTCAGGTAAGTCCCAAACAATTATGACCTGGCAAATCCTTGGTCTTGACCTGACCATACCGTAACAGCAGGGAGTGATACTCCCCCATCTGTCAGTGGTTTGTCTGCTCCAGGCTTCACTTTTGAACCCAACCCATTCCAGGCATCCACCCATGCAGTCCCCTACGGCACCACAATCTGCTGTGCAGAGTTACACCCCTTTGTCATGCCAGAATCTGATGAGTGAGTGAGTGAGTGAGTATGGTTTTATGCCGCTTTTAGCAATATTCCAGAAATATCACGGCGGGGGACACCAGAAATGGGCTTTACACATTGTACTCATGTCGGGAATCGAACCCGGGTCTTCCGTGTGACGAGCGAACTCTTTAACCACTAGGCTACCCGACCGCCCCAGAGAATCTGATGATAGTGGATTAAATTGACCTTGATTGTGATACATGGTTTTGTCAGCACCATACCAATGCTTGTGAGGCTCAGCAAAGCTGTCAACATCTAAGACCTGCATCACTTTGGGCTCTCCTCACCATTAAGCTGAAACTCTGTGATGTAACTGAAATGCTGTTCAAAGCAGTATTATATATAAAACCCAACTCTCTTTCATCCCGTCCTGTCCTTAGCCAGAAAAATCATGATAATAATGTGATTAGGTTGAAGTTAGATATTTGTTTACATTATTTTCCTGTTTAAAAATTGTGCTTCTTTTGCCATCTTAATTAAGATGCATTAGCAACACTAGACCTGATGATTAAGCTTTTCTCTTCAAGATAAAACAAAAGCTGTCCTATCATTCAAAATGTCTGCCTTGCTTTTCCCCATTAGCTGATATAGTGGCTGTTAGGCTTTGAGATAAGCTGCTTTGGTGATACAGCCTTCATCATCTGTTTGGCTTTTCACCCCTCAGTTTACCTGACTGAAGATAGAGTAGAGGATCTCATCAGGATTGTGCAGCTTCTTGTTGAGAGAGTATATTGTCACGATCACTGTTCTTCTGGCTTTAATGGGGTGGTGGGGTAGCCTAGTTGTTAAAGCATTTGCTCATCACGCTGAAGGCCCGGGTTCGATTCCCCACATGGGTACAATGGGTGAAGCCCATTTCTAGTTCCCCACCGTGATATTGCTGGAATATTGCCAAAAGCACTGTAAAACCATACTCACTCAATCACTCTGGCATTAATCATCTCAGAAAGTCTACCTGTACTAGTTTTTAGAGAGTGGTTACTCATCTACTTTAAGAATTTATTTAAGTCATTTCCAAATAATGTGTAGTTTACTGTTTTTGTTTTCACAAAATCTCTTTATTGTTGTTCATGTTATGAATTGAGGTCGTAATGGTATGCGGAATGCTATTCAAAGTGTTAAATGACATCCACTGAGCCAGTGAATCCCTGGGCTAAACACTGCCTCAGTGGTCTAGTGGATAGAGCGTCGGCCCAGAGAGCAGGTCGGTGGTTCGATCTCCTGGCCGTGTCATACCTAATGACATTAAAAGACATACTTGTTGATAATCTACCTGACACTCGTCATTAAAGAGATAAAACAAAGACTGGTCGGCTGAGAGTGGGCGTAATATGTCTGAGTGGCGTATTCCTGTTTAAAACTGGCATGGTATCACAGTGGGCTAGCACTATCAAACAGCATATGTCTGGACTAGTACAAGCAGACACACACACAAGTGCATGCACATCGCTATAAAAGTGTAATAATCTTGAACGCAACATTAAACCCCATTTCACCTCACCTCACGTTGCTAAAATGTGGTGGGTGGTGGGGTGTCCTCGTGCTTCGAATGATGATATATCATGCCATATTTCTTACGTTTATTATGATCCCCCACAGGGGTACAATATGTGTAGACTATCCTTGTTTCCTATGTAAGGCTGGAATACTGCTTAAAAGCACTGTAAAACCTTACTGATAACATCAGTAAAACTGTCAGTCTTGGGAATGATGTGCAGAATCAACATACCGTATTCGCCTAAATAAGCGCATATGCACTTGGAACATTGAAAGGGGGGCACCTATTTAAATCATACACAAGGAGTTGTGGTGGTTGGAGTTGTCACTCATTGGAGAGGCAATACGGTAATCCAATTATTTGACATAATCCTGAGATAAATTCTGATTCATCAAGTCAGAGAAGGATCTTGCAGTTATGTTACTGTATCAGAGTATTTCAGAATTCCCAAATTTGAAAATCATTTCCTAAAAAGGCATGTAATCGAAGATTGCATCAGCTCATGCTTTTATATCTCTTGTTTCTCAAGTAAATAAAACCACAATCAAAGAAATGCAATTTTTGAATAACCTGATCATGGTGTTAAATGTTATGGGACTACACATAACACAACAACGCAAGTTTGTGTTTCATTTAAAGATATGAAGCTGTGTGATTTTCCCAAATCAGTGATGGGAAGAAAATGCATCAAGAAAACAAGAAGTCCTGGACTTGGAAAATAAATTTCTAATCTTGAGTGGTTGGATGGAAGATTGCCTGATACATCTGACTTCAATGGAACCTGCTCGGCCCAATCTGGACGGCAATAATTGGGCTATAAGTTACACAGAAAATCTGAAAATAAGAAACTGTATATGCCGCAGATGAAGCTGGCTAATGGCAGATAACTGATCCTGAAAGTCTTTTGTGTCATGGCCACCCACAACACGGAGTACTTATGACATGCAACAGGCTTGTGCATGGACTCGCCATCAGCGGCAGCCATCTTTAATTATGTCCCAAAGATAATTACAGAAATAAAGATTACTAATCAAAAGAAACTTCAGTATTACATGATTGAAAAGTAAGTTTCCTTCTGCTGATAAGATAGTAAACTTCTTATAAGCTGTGTGCTTGTAATCCATTTGAAATTCTGAAAGAATGATATTCATATCAAATTATATTTCTTAGAGTCACAGTGTCTGGCATGAAACAAGGGAGGGTTGAGGCGTTAGTTCCTTCTTGTAGTTCATTGTGCCAGAGTTCTGCAAGCTGATTAATTAATGCCGTGTAGATGTGTCATGATAACTCTCCTGCCACGTGAGGCAGATAAACCCAGTACCCTACTCCCATCCCGACAAGCACGCTGTAGGTCGCGTTGACCTTATTGTGTAGATGCATACAGATACTGATGATGATTCCATAAGATTCTCCCAGTTTCAGCTGGCGAAGGCTGTTCACCAGTCTCCTGTTACCAATGTATTTGACTGAATACTTGGAAACATATGAACTAGCCAAGTATAAGTGTAATGGTTTTACTGAAATCTACTTTCCTATATTGATAGATAAAATTCTATACAAATAAAGATGAAATAAATATAGAGAGAAAAACAAATCTTGAGGGTTGAAAGGTTTATTTTGTTTCTGTTATTTAAATGCATTGCCTGGTGGGTGTTTTGAAGAAATTTGTCAATTGTTTATCAAAAATTCTAAAGATATTTTCTGGGTTTTGCTTCCAATATTATTTGATAAATGAATTTTTTTTTTATATTATTTCCTTTTATGACTTGAAATATGTTTTATTTCATAGGTAGAAGCTAAGTCATTTTGTCACAAGTTCTTAATGATATTAATGTGAACAACTTCCATGATTTAGTAATATTTATGGCTACTCTGGTCTAAGCTCTTTTACCATTACGAATTTCAGATATGATGAACTTGTACTAAATTCCTGCTCTATGCTGTTTGACAGTGTTTGTATTTTAGAAACATCATGTAGAGTTTTGGAATTTCCATTTGTCAATGCATTGAGATGTTATGCCAGGTGCATCAATGGTTCAATCAATCATATCCTTATTCTGCATTTCAGAATTACAGTCATCACTAAAGCGTGATTTCTGAAAATAGTGAAAATCTTTACAAACACATTTGTACCGTGCTTTGTTCATGTTGCCACTTCCTGTTTCAGATGTGCGGATACCACTTATGTGGAAGGATAGCGACCACTTCAAGAATAAAGGAGGTATGGCAACTCTACAGAACAGCCTTTCACACTGACCTTGACACTCATGGTGTCTCTTATACTGCTCTGAATTGAATAATGCTAAGCAGGGTCAAATATATGGGTTCGTCATTTAAGGCTTTTAAACTTGCCTTTAATGCATTTGTTCAAACTTTTTATTTTGGACAGAAGGAAGAAGAGTTACTAGTACACTTTATGACACTTTTTAAGATTCTTCCCATCTACTTTGCTTACGAAACTATATTTCTTTCTTTTTTCAGCTTTAATTCAAAATGAAATATTTTTACCTATTTTGTACTCAGGAATGAATTCATAATTCAAAAAAATCAAATATAGCAACCTAAGTTTGGGATCATGAAACGTATTTCAAGTTGTCAAAATTTCTGTCGAGCAGAGTGCTGATGTTAGTCAGATCATTGTGCTGATGAGAAAGGTGTGGGACCTTTAAGTTGGTCTTAAACTATTTATATTTTTATTGAGTGAAAGGAGTTGGTTCAAACATATTTTTATTTCAACTGAAAATTAGGATCGACAAAGACGTATATACATACATTGTATGTCTTTGGGATAGGTGAACAACACAGAGCTTATTTGAATACCTCTCCCTACATAGAAATCATGTAACAAAGATAGTCAAGGTGTATACATACATAATATTTACTATAAAAATACCTTGATGGTCAGTTATCAACCATGATCCATCAAACGAGTTCACTAGGTTTCACTGGATTACAAATATATTTCATGGACAAGATGTCCAATGTGATGAAATTATATGATTTAAAATATAAACCTGTTAAATATATTTTAGTAGTTCATGGAAGTCTTTCAAATTTATATTCTTCAAATTCAGTATTTGATAGCTTGCGACATACAAAGTTTAAAAGGGAATGAAGCAATAACATTAATCGCCACGAATTTAATGTTTTCAAATGACTAAGTAGTTTTCATTAGGCTGTACCTATAAGCCCCACAAGATTGATCATCAGGGATGCAAGTGTCAGCCTCGATGTCAAGGGAAAAGCTAGAAATGTTACCTCCAGAGGACCACTTTAAGTGTGGTAGTGAGCTGCAGGGGGTCCCCTGAGGACATACTGTGTCAGTCACATGCACCCTGGGGGGTGTCCAGCCCTGTCAATCAGTCACACTGACAGGTGTGCTTACCTATGCCAGAAATGTACACCCTCCAGAGTGATTGATTGTCAACATATGTTCATGTCAGAAACTTCAATGAAGCTAAATTATTTTTATCACTTATTGGTTCTATTTTAGACATGTTGTATCACAGTTTCTTAATAATAGTTGTTTGATCCCATTGTTATTGTTATCAAGCTCCTAAAGAGAGCAAAGACTTCTCATAAAAATATATAAGGCCAGACTCGATTAAAACTTGGTTTACTAACTCCAAAATATTGCAATAAATAAAGAATGAAATAAGATTGAAAAGCAGTGTGCTAACCAAAAATAAGTAAAATGTGAAAAAAGTTATTTAAAATACTCCAATTAAAACCTGTTGAAAATTTATCTAAAATCCTCAAAGCACTACATATGATGACTAATGCGACAGATCCGTGTGATGGGAAGGGAGGTAACTGAAATAGTTTCTTATTCCTCTTGCCCCTACTTTTTACCTATCTACTGAACATTTTCAGGAAATTTAAAAAAAGATATTTGGAATCGGATTATTTTTAGTTTTTTGACCTACCGACCTATAGTTTAATAGATTTAAAGCTTTCAGATAAATACTAGCCAAAGGGATCAAGATCCCATCTCCCAGACATAATATCCAGTAAGACAAAAGATATGTCTACATAGTCTTATAGATTGGCTTGAACTAAGCAATCTATAAGACTATGTAGACATAACTTTTGTCTTATTGAATAGTATGTCTAGGAGATGTGTTCTCGTTACCTTAGACTAGCATCTATCTAAAAAGAGCTATGACTGAAATTAATTATATTTTGTATATGTATTTTATCTGATGATATGTATTACTTGCTAAACTATAATTATATGAAATGTTGTATAAATGTTACACCATGATAACTTATAAAAGTACTTGTTGTGGATCTAATTATCATATGAGATCTTAGTATAAATGTTATATCATGATAGACCCTTGTTTAATTTCCAACATGGCTACAATGTGTGAAGACAATTTTTGGGGTCCTTTGCTATGATACATTTAGAACAGTGCTAAATGTGTTGTAAAACATGTTCCCTCAACTGCAGGTCAATCCTGAAAATGACACCACAAAAAGTAGAAAATTTACCCAAAAAAATATCAAACCATCAGCTCTAATAATTTGTTTGTAATTAAAAAATATCTCCTAAGGTATCATCTCATACAGGACATAATTTGATCTTAGACAAGAAACACATCCTGGCTTTGCACCGCCAAAAACAATTTCCAGACGCCGAAAATCTATTATAGATTTCTCAAGTTCCATATTTACTTTCAGAGATTGTCTCAATGGAGTTTCTTGTATCAGACACTGAAATTAGCGACTACACAAGATGACTATCACTTGTGTGCTGATTGAAGGAAATGATTGGTGGTTTGTGAAGTAACTGTGCCACCTCTGTCTCCAGATTACCGGCGGTATGCTGTATTCTGCCTGCTGAAGATTGGGACGGAGATCTTTGACACCACAATGATCAGTAACGTGGACAGGAGCATGACCGACATCACATTCGAGGATGTGATATTATTGTAAGTGTAACAGTCATGTTGTAGCTACGCTTTGGTTGTGTGGGTACTCGGTAGTCTTGAGGTAAGTGTGTCTGCTTGCCATACAGATGACCTTAGTTTGATTCCCCACAAAGGTACAATCTGATATGTTCAGATATCTGGCTTGGTTGACAGCATGTCATCGTACCCAACAGCCTGGGACATTACTGATGATTATTTTAAGGCTGCAATTGTATAGCTGGAATAGTGTTGACTAATCAACATTCACTATCATTGCTCATAATATCAACAACTGCACCTCAATCGATTGAGGTCCGCTATCTACACTTCCTTTTGCGCTAATTTGATGATCGCCCAATCCTTCTGGCCCACAATCAATCGTACGATCTCTTTTGGGACTGTCAAGATATTCTTGAAATTCCTCTTGGGAAGCCCTGTTATTAAATTTAATGCCTACATTATGTTAACTGGCATAGTCAACTGGTTTACTTTGTCTAAGGCCTTGCATGTAGACAAACGTCACTCGCTTGTAGCTACCGGCAGCTATTTAGAAGAGGCGAAACTTTCAGGAAATATTTGGCGGAACTTTGGCGAACTTCAGCGAAAAATTGACCCACATGTTTGACTAGCCTTCCACTCACGTTAAACAAAGCAAACTAATTTGAAAAGCTACCAAGGATGCTGGGTAGGGGTACGTGATAACTTCTCATGCAAGTGAGAGAAGGAAGCTATAAATAGATATGCTAATTAACTATGTCAGATGGCAGGGCCAACTGCTAAAATTATGAAGTAATTAACTGTACAAGGAGAAGAGCAGGACATTGCAGTTGTGTATTTCAAACGGAAAATGAAGAGTTGTGCTTGTCTTGCAGCAACAACATCCCCCATGACTTTGAGTGTAAGGTGGAGGTCTACTGTCACAAACTTCATGATGATCTCTCCATCGCAAACACTCCAAAGAAGCTGAGGAAGAAGATAAACGATATCTCAGGCTCCGTGGGGAGAAGTGTTGGCAAGAGGCTGTCGGGACTGGTGAGTCAGTCTTTAGCTTGTCCCACACATCATTGTCTTTCCTGGTCTATCAAAGACTTTTTTAAGGAATTTCATTTAAATTTGTGTTACATTTTCGAGAGATTTAAAATATTACAAGGTGCTGATGGAAGCAGTTTCCAGTCTAACATGTATGAAAGTTTGAGAAGTTTTGATATTATCCTTGAAAATGACTACAACATGATTAGAGTTAGGGAAGAGTTCTTTACTTTGCTAAGAAAGCATTATCCTAAATATAACATTTGTTACAAGGGAATAGTTCAGCAAACCTGATGTGCAGTAACATTTTAATTTTACTGAGCAATTCAAAACTGTTGCTAAGTTGGCAATTGCTTGACATAGTTCACAAGATGTCAGCTCCCGATAACATTTATGTAGGGCTGCATTTTGGTGTCTACATTAATTAGTTGGGTTGTTTGCATTGTCATGTCATTAAATTACTAAAAGTATGCAACTGATGAATTTATTCCTTGTGGTGATTTTGTCCTTAAAAAAAAATTGTTTGCTACAAATGTGTAAGGCTCCAGTCTTCTTTGCCAAGCTAAAACTTACAGAGTTATCTCCCATTATCTCTGTTTCCAGGTCTACTTCTGTTTTCAATGGCTTTGTGATTTAGGTTGATGGACATTTAATAATTTGTTTCCTTTCTTTCAGAATGATGCAGATATAATTGGAAATATGGTTTTGTAAGTATAATATCAACATAGTTTTCCTTTGTCACAAAACCTGGACTATTAGGATTGCATATTTTCAAGTATATCAGAGTGCCCGTTAGGTTTTTAGCATAATGATGTGAAATATTTATTAATCTATGTGTATGATGCTCTGTATTTGTTTAGCATTGATCATAGCTTCTTTCAAACACTGATTTCAATTCTGTACTCTTTGATTACAGGGGTCCCAAGTTTGAACTCGTGGCTAAAGGAGCGCTGAAATTATCTGATGTGGATGACTCTATTCGGACGTTTGATCTGCAGCTGGAGACAAATGCAGGTGTGTATAAGGAACAAGAAAATGAATTGTTCTTAAATATTGATGACGACGGGTTGTGTGTTTGCTCAAGCTAAAGACAGTCTCAGTTCCTCATTATTCATTGTGTCAACCCACTCTTGTGCTCTTCATGTTCTATGGGGTAGCCTAGTGGTTAAAGCATTCGCTCGTCATGCCAAAGACCCGGGATCGATTTCCCACATGGATACAATGTGTGAAGCCCATTTCTGGTGTCCCCTGCCGTTATATTGCTCGAATATTGCTAAAAGCAGCATAAAACCATACTCACTCACTCACTCACTCACTCACTCACTCACTCACTCACTCACTCACTCACTCACTCACTCACTCACTCACTCACTCACTCACTCACTGTGCTATGGCTGTTATTCTATCAATAGTAATTGTTGTAACTTCCATGTGCAGGATGCTAGGGTATTCTAGTTAAGGATGTGATGCATTAAAGTATGTATGTAGCAGTGTTTCAAATAATATCAGTTGTCTGGCTGCCATCAGGACCCACATCCTTTAGAACACAAGGCCCGATCCAACTCTTCAGGCCCTCATTTATAAAACTGCAGCTTATTGTGACAAAAAAAAATCGACACGTAACTTTACTGAAGTCCATCAGGACACATACAAATTTGAGAGCTACAGGCCCGACACGGGATCTACCTTCCACGGGCCTACGGGCAGGCACCTATTTCAAACACTGCTATGTAATCAGATTCCTACATTGCTGTATTGTAGGCATCAAGAGTATTATTTTGTTTCCTATAGATAGCATATATTAAGCTCACTCATATCTCTACATGGATAACATAGAAATACTGAAAGCTATACACTTATTTATTCATAGATTCATTTTTTCTTAGAAATTTGAGTTTATTTGTTATGGACGATGATTAATTATTCTTCCAGAGGGTAGTGTTCATGAGCTGCCACTGTTCGGCCATTACTGTTGCCGGCTAGCTGCTCTCCCGAACTGCCTTGCAGATCCCACTGTCACAGGATTCCTCAATCTACAGGTAGGTGACATAGTTATGTCAAGGATACCTGTCTCGTAAGAGTTAGAGGATGAATCCAGATCCTGGTATCAATGGGCTCAGCCGTCATCAGTAGAAACTGATCCTAGTTTATTCATTGAATGAACACTGAACAGTTTACTGTAGATTACACGGATACAGTAGGATCTGATGCTTGCAGCACCTGGGTAACTCACCCATGAAGATCCGGGGTAGAATAGGTCTTCAGCAGCCCATGCCTGCTGTAAAAGGCGACAATGCTTGTTATAAGATGCAACTAACGGGATCAGGTAGTCAGGCTCGCTGACTTGTATGATGAATGTCATCTTATCCCAATTGGGTGGATCATTGCTCATGATGTCAATCAGTGGATTTTCTGGTCCAGACTCGATTATTTACAGACCGCCGTTATATAGCTGGAATATTGCCGAGTGCAGCGTTAAACAACAACAAAAACTGGGTAACTGTGTATCATGCTGAGGGATAGTAGGTTTCTCATTATGATAAATGCACTGTGCACTTCTTTCACTGACATTATTGATGCGTCCAGGAGGATGACGACCTGTCCAAGTGGAGGCGGTACTGGTGTGTCCTCAAGAACCTCCAGCTGGCCTGCTGGTCATCTCCGGGGGACGTGGAGGTCACGCAGCCCCTCGTCACTGTTTGTGTCACCAAGGTAAGTCAAGTCTTCATCATGTCACCTTGCAGTCTCATGTCAGGATAATGCTGGAATAATAAGCTATCACAGCCCCTCATCTCTGCCGTGTCAGGGTGTGACTCGGATTGCCCAGTGGTTCTGGGCCCATCGTATCATTGCCCGTGAAGATCCGGGGTAGAATAGGTCTTCAGCAACCCATGCTTGCCATAATAGGCGACTATGCTTGTTGTAAAAGGCGACTAACAGGATCGGGTGGTCAGGCTCGCTCACTTGGTTGATGCATGTCATCGATATCAATCACTGGATTGTCTGGTCCAGACTCGATTATTTACAGACCGCCGTCTCATATCTGGAATGTTACTGAGTCCGGCGTTAAACAACAAACCAACCAACCCATCATATCTTTGCTATCTCATCTCACATAATATCCACTCACTCACACACGTCACATTCACACATCCTACTAGCACAACAGTATATATCTTGTTTGTAATTCAGTGTATGTTTGTGTTGTCAGAATTCCCAGATAAGTGATGCTGATCCCAGCACGTGCAAGCGGTCACATACATTCCACATCAAGACTGTGACGCTGACCGGAGTACTGGAACACACACTTGCAGCTGACTCACAGGAAGACCTCAACCGGTGGTGGGATGGTCTGCAGCAGCATCTTCTAGACCAGGGTAGGCACTCAGTCTCACATCATGGGGGACAGGTCTGGATCATGAATCTTGTAGCATAACGATATGGTCTGCAGCAGCATCTTCTAGACCAGGGTGTGTACTCAGTCTCACATCATGGGGGACAGGTCTGGATCATGAATCTTGTAGCATAACGATATGGTCTGCAGCAGCATCTTCTAGACCAGGGCGTGTACTCAGTCTCACATCATGGGGGACAGGTCTGGATCATGAATCTTGTAGCATAACGATATGGTCTGCAGCTTGGGTCACTGCTTTACGTACACACCATAATATAAAACTGGCTCGAAGTCAGAATACTAAGTCTGAGTGGGGTATTCATGTAAAAACTGAGGCATGGTATCTCAGTGGGCTAGCAGTATAAAATCGGCATTAGTCCAGACTAGTACAAGCAGCCACACACACACACGAAATCATGCATGCAGGTCGCTATACAAGTGCAATAATCTTGGATGTGGTGTTAACCTCATTTCACCTCACCTTTCTGAAGCCTAATCAAAGAGTTCCCAACTGTTGCAAGTTTGACTGAGGTAGTATTGTGCCTTTGCACATACATGGGCTGAAGAGTTAATTGAACAGGATAGTCTTTATGGCTGTGATAGCCCTTTGGGAATTCCAAGGCATAACAGGTCCCCAGTACCTCATGCTTGTCATAACAGCTGACTACTGAGGATTGGATGTGTGCAGTGTGCAAGTTGGTTAATCGCAAGGAATCTGTATTGATGTATGCTGTTCAATGTGTTCCAGCCTTGTGGAAGCATGCCTGTGATGATAAGATGGACGTCAGAGCATCCAGTGTCAGGAAAGATCAGGTCTTCCTCAGAAAAAGCTCAATATACGATGATACACCGTTAATAGGTCAGTAAGTGAACTTTGATAAATTCTTATAATAATAATAATAATAATAATAATAATAATTTTAATAAAATCATATTCTATTCAAATTTGAAAGCAAGTATCAGTATCATTCAGCATATTTACACAACAAAAATGCCTCCATTAAATTATTTTGCCTTCACATAAGAAATTTTAATACACTTGGGAGCATGACTCTTGCTTTGAGAATCTTTTTCAGTTCATAATGATTTCAAGTACAATTTGTAGTTGTTCTATAGTCAATCATGCTAATGGGGATTATCACTTTGTTTGGAAAATTACTGATTTTTTACCAGATTTTCCAAAATGCTGCATTTTGAGGTTGCTATCAGTGTATGTCACTGATGCTTGTGTGTTGCAGATCGTAACTCGGTGACGGACGGTGTTCTAGATGACCTGAAGGTCGATGATGATCAGCTGAGTCAGATGCTGCACACACTGATGGGAGAGGCCTCGCAGATCCGGTCCGGCACTGCCAGGCAGCTCTCCACAAGCTAGACCTGAACACTCCCCACGCCAAACCACAACATTCACACATCTCACAGCTAGTAGCATCCCTGCATCACTACTCTTCATACATTCATACATTCATACATTCATACATTCATACATTCATACAGCATGCGATGTGACTTTGGTGCCTCTTTTTGGTGTGTGCTCGACTCAAGGATTTGAGGACAAATAATTGTTATTGTGGAGGAGAATGTTTGTAAACAGTGAACGCTTTTACCAGTGTTGACAAGTATCACAGATCAATTGCTGTTAACTATGAACTGTAAGATACAGACATCTGATGAGACGTTAATGAAATGATTATGAAGTGTAGGTATGAACATCCAGCAAGAGAGACATTTGTGAAAGGTAACTATGGACTGTAACATACAGGCATCTGCTCTCCACTGACGTCATAGCAACAGTGATGTCTGAGAGGGGTTACTAGGAATATGAGGCACACACTTCACAACTGTCAGCATGGGAGATCGGGGTCACCAGGAGAGATATTCATTGGAAGTTATCAAGACATCTTTGGACATCGCAGCACAACAGACAGAAATTACTATGAAGAGCAACAGATGAACAATTGCCAAACAAGGACAGAGAACCGATGTGTGTAGAATTATCGCAGACTCATGTCTGCTTTTTATAACCAGACAAGGGGACACCCAACTCTGGGAGACAACTGCAGATGTGTAGACAGAACCATGCTAATCCCCAGAAAATCAGTAATTTTGCAGCAAGCATCAGTATTTTGTCAAGGATGTTTCATGGAGTGTCTACAAGAAAAGAAAGGGACATCTGCCTTTTCCTTTTAGCTTTGACCTTGAGGTATTTCAGAGGGCATTCCATCATCTCCACAAGAACTGGAAGATCTATGACCTTATTAACATATTTCACATGGAATATCCGTTTGTACATCTCATATGGTTCTATTTTCATAAGGTACATGATCTTGAAATTTGATACTAGTGATGTTCATGATTGGCCATAGTTTGCAAATATGTCATTGTTTCATCATGGTGAACTGTTATAAGACAGGTTGTGTTGCCATTGTTACAGGAGGAATGTTTTTTAGGCTCGGCCTTAACGCTCGTCCCACCTTTCCTCACTAGATTCTCGTCAGTGCCAACATTGGCAGTGGTGGCCATCAGCTGCTTTGTGTGAAACTTTCACAAGAAGAGATTTCATTATGAAATGACAGAAAATGTACTGAATGGATCATAGCCTATTCCTAATGGCACAAAAATAACTATATAATATCATCAAAAAATGGGAATCCATTGTTACTCCTTCAAAATGTACTTAATGGGATTATGACTTAATTTGATATTATGTCCCTTGAAGGAAATAATCTTCACCCCAAAAATGTGTTAATATTAAGCTTGCAAGGATTATCTCCCTTTCCCCATATTCATATTGAAAAATGACGAACAGAATTGTTTAATATATGCATCATACTGTGATCATATATATCTCTCCCCGTATCATGCCGCCAAATTAATAGTTTGATATAGGTTGTCATGGTTACCAGTAAACTATGTATGTAAATTGTTTTTATGTGTGGTCACTTGTCATGGCATGTTAAAATATAATGTTATGGTGTAATGGAATCTGTCACGAGTCGTGATTAAGCTCTTGCTAGTTGTGGTGTAACGATATGGCAGTTCAGATACGTATCATGTACGAGTCGTGTCATTACCTAAAATGTATTTGACAACCAAAGATGTACTGTTTTTAGGATCTTAAGTCCTTTGCTCAAACAAACAAGTTCCTTAAAACATTGTATGCCTTGTGTGATTTGTGTTTTGTAAAGACATTTGACTACATTAGAATGGATAAATATGACTTCTTCTTTTTATGGTTTCCATCACATCCAATTCATTTGTAGAACTCAATATTGACCATAGCTAGTCCAGCTAGACTTGATGAGACTTCCTTACCAGGGAGGGTAGTGACATCGGTGAATGTAACAATAGTTGGTGAATAGCTACAGTGTTAAATTAAGAGCTTAGCACCTTCTGGTGCCCAGGTTTAGGGTGTTTTTTTTCTTATAAGCTGATATAGATTCTCAAAAGCCTGGCTCCGTGGTCGAAGTAAAAATCAAATCAAACCCTATTGTTTTTTGTTTTGTTCTTGAAAGAACATTGAATCGGTAGGAGGACAAACATTTAGAATCAATTTGTCCTTTTGTTATATAGCCTAACTTATTCAGGTTGGGTAGTAAAATAAATTAAATTTTTAAGCTGATTTAAAGCTTCTTCTTTTTTTAAGCTGTTAACAATTTATTTAATTTTAATATTTACCAAATACAAAATTATGTTTTTTACAGAAAGGTAATGACTTTTTTAAATTATATATCCACCTACTGAAGTAAAAAAGATCTGGCCTCAGAAAAGCGTAACAGCAGTTTCCTTTACTGGAAGTTGTATGTTGTTTTCTCATTTGTTAGCATACCCAGAAGATGCATTTAACACTCCAATCAAATATATATCCAGGTACAAGGCAGTGAAACAGATAGTCGTTTCATGAAGTCTGTTCAAGATGAGCACAAACTATCTTATTTCCGACAGCTGTAAGTTGTTGTGCGTCGTTGTTGCAAAGACTTGTGGATAGTAACAACTGCCTCAAATTGCCAAAGCTGTGCATGATAGTATCTATAATATGTATGTATAGTGTACATACGTAAACTTTGAGTTTTGTATAGTCATGTAATATTATTTCTTCCATAATCATACTTAATCATCCTGTTAGGCCAAGATGTTAGTGATTCAAGATCCCTGGATTATGAAACTTTTGGGGGTCTATTTTTTGTGAGATTTTCACCATACTTTTGAAAACCAAATCTAAGAGATGGACTCGGATCCACAAAAGGTACTTGTCTCATTGTAGTGATCTACGGTTGCATCACCTCTGATTGGGCATTTGAAATAAAGATTGATTAATAGCATAAATCACAGGCAGACTTAAAGTAACAAGATCGATTTATTGATAGAAATATACACTTTTTTATGAAGATTTGTAGTTGAGTATTTTTTCAAATGTTGAAAATGTCAGTATTCTATTCAGACCTTTACACTGTGGCGCATGCTATTGTTATATGAAAGAAACAGATGAAGATAGGTGTGATTGGAAGCAGGTCTAGAAAACCACTGATTCCCGTCAGTATATATATTGGGAATTTTCTCGCTATTTATTTTAGTATTGTCTGATGGTGCAGTGGGAAACCATCGTAACAGCCTTATATTCTTGTTGCAACTATCTCACACCTGTATTTTCATAGAATCCAATATTTTGAATAACACATAATCTGACAATCAGGTGATTTGAAGCACTGTTTTTGTCTGGAAAACTTTTTCACTTGAATGAACATGTGATTGATTGAGGGATTGAGGGAAATCTCCCAAAACTTAACATAATTAGTCAGTTTGATTAATTATTTATCACAATTTCAAGCGCTTGAAAATATATGTATTAGATATTAACATCCTATGATATCATAAGACTTGAAAATTGGTAATTTTAATGATACATTCAGATTACATTCTTCTCATTAATGTTATGATGGGTATGTCGGTTGAATATGAATATGGAGGTTCAACTGACAGATTTCGAATCCATCAGACCAAGTATAAATGGCTGATTTAATCAAAATGTTCCTAAACTGAATATCTGACATATTAGCCCTTTCAATACTTGTCTAAATGTCATGACATTATCCTTGCCATTGCCTTGTTGTCTAGTCCCATGTCAACATTGTTGCGTGTATTGTCCAGTCAGCTTCCTCATATTGTCCATTGTTTGTTAAACAATAGCCATCCGGGGAGATATTATTAGAGTAGGTTGTCCATTGAGCCAGTTATTCCCTGGTTTGATACTGCTAAGCGAACATAAGAAAAATTGGTGTGTACGGTAAGTGTTCCTCTGGTAATGGAAAATTGATTTCAATCGGAAAAGGAATTGTAGTGGAATGTGAGGGCGTGCATGTGGAGTTTATGCTCTGCATGAATTTGTTAATTTGCCACATAAACACATCAACGCAAACCCACCAGGACGCCGTTGTACAAAACAACCTTAGCATGGCGACTGTCGTAAGTCTTTGTTAAGGTATGGGAGTTACGATCACCTTAGCGCTAAGATCGCTTTGTACAACAGCACCCAGCCCTGCTGTTGGTATCAACTGTTGGATTATGCAGATCTTTTGGTTCAATTGTCAGGTCGGGATTTGTCTTTAGTTTGCTTAGCAGTAGTTTCTGAGGCTTGGGAAAAACAATAATCTTGGCTCTTAGGATAAGACATAAGGCACACAAGCAATTTATGTGGTCATATTTTAACCAGCATTTAAAACAATTACAGTAGAAAAAGTCCATTATCAAACTCCTGAAAGGTGAGTGGGTTTTATGCTAATGGTAGAAAGACAGTTATGCAATGGTCAGATGAGGGTAAAATATGGGTTTTTATTTTAGTTTTGTGATTTTTTTTCTGAGCTAAGAAAAACACTGCCACAAAACCAAGACACCTTTTTTTAATGGCTTTTTCCTGAGAACTAATATGTTTATTCATCAGCCTTTATGATCATTTTTTATGTTGCTGATAAACCACAAGGATATTGTGTTTGTTCTTTGTAAACTGCAAATAGCTGAAACAGTGCTTATGCTGTAGAAATATTCTGCCATGTGCTGAGTTGAAGTGCAGACCCTGTCAATGGTTAGACTTTCAAGTATTAAGCATAATCACATCCAAATATCTTATCAATATTGTCTTTTCAAAATGAAAACGATATTTTGAAAGATGAGTTGTAGCTGAATCTATGAGCCAGTTCAGTGAATTATGCCAAGGTGTTTAGAATTACAAATTAAAGAGGCACATTGAAACCTGTTTGTTCTCAAGTCTCTTAAAATTTGGGTAATATTGATCAGTGTTTCTTGGTATTGTACCTTGGGAGTTAAAAAGGAGTTTTGAAAAAAAAAAAAATATTTGCTGATTTAGCAATTAATTAGTGGGTCTCAGTATGCCTCTGTCTCTGTTAGAGTTTATGCTATTCTAGTTGTTGAGTTTAATAATTCAGTTGTTCTAGAAACTCGTCAGGAATTTGCATTTAATTGTAGATGCAGTGCCTTACAGCAATATAACATTGAAGTTGTTCACGTTGAATTTAATCCATGTTAAAATTTGAGAAGTGGTGGCTGCCCATTTATTTATTAACTTCAATATTTGATTATGTGTTAAATGTGTGTTGTCGTACAGATTGGATATTTCACTTCAGAAATCTAGTTATTTTTGTATTTTTTAGTAGAATTTACGCCTAAAATGTGTGATGTTTACATCCAGTTGATTTATTTATATAAAATAGAACATTAATATTACGATACAACCAAAACAGTAGACTTATTTCAGAATTTTTGTAATCAACTGTTTTGAAAACGCAGTACTATGATATATTTTTTACTCAAAAATATGCCAGACAGATTGTTATTCAACAAAATCACTCAGAATAACACATTTGCTGATGGTTGGTTTCTATAGATACGGAACTTAGTGTAGACTGAATAGCAGGAGCACGCTGAAGATACGGAGAGCATATGATAAGTCCCAGTAGTAAGTGTTTTTTAACTGATCAATCTCATTAAAATCAGGTCTTAGTTCTCACTACCGCTAAACAAAGATCTGAGGACATCCCATTACAGGTCACGTCAGACCGACCTTGCACAAACTATCACCGACCAATGGAATGACCAATCAGAAGGTAGCTTTCTCGTGCTTTACGACACTACTTTCAAATTGGTGACTACGCTTCGAAACATATTTTGACAAATTCTCGATTACAAATTTGAAACCTGAACAAAAATACATTCTGGAATGGCAAATAGATGGTCTCGATTGAAAGGATTCAGTCGTTAAACCCGTAACTATAATTCAGAATACCCCATGTTAAAGTTTTCGAGATTGCATGATTAGAAATCACATTCCGACTGTCACTTTCATAATCTGGTAAGCAACGCACTGATTGGTCGGATGAAAGGTCGTTCTGACGTGACCCCAAATGGGATGTCTTCAGATCTTTGTTTAGCGGTAGTGAGAACTGAGGTCTGATTTTAATGAGATTGTTAACTGATCGCCATTCCATAACATCCGTGATATGTTGTAGATTGTTCAAACAAGGCATAATAGACCAATTTTGACCAAGGTAGTTCCCATTTCTTAGTATGTGTTTCCCATTTTGCTTTAATGACCCCAAAGAAATATAGCTGGTAGTTTTTATCGTTACAGTTTGGGCATGGAATAGTTTCGTCCAAATCTGTTTCATGTTCAAATGTGTCATAACAAAATTGTGTTTACTTTTGTTTCTTTTTTTTTCTTGGATAATTTTGCCAAGATTGTTTTCTTTGGTTGAAGGGCACATGTCACTCGTGAAGAAATGTATTAACGCTCAAGTTGTGGCATTGTTACAATGGTCATCAATATGTTGGTGAGGTGGTTTTGTGCAGCATGTTATTATCTCACTACATCCACTCAGTCACCAGCTGAACTGCTGAATCCCTTGTGATGCAATAAGGCTTGTCCCAGAATAGGTCCATGCAGTTTCACAGCTTAGGCCAGTTTAAAACTTCCTGAATCTTTTGGATAGTTTCCATGTTTCCTTGAAGGAGTTGATTACTTATATTAGGACTGGCTGAACCTCCATAAGACTTTCTACAATTGACCTTAGTATTGAAAATTTATTTCTGTCATGTTTTATTTCGCTTAGGTATATACGATTTTAGTTTAATTACATTTATCATCGATTTATATTATATGCATATGTTATTGAACAGATGAAAAATTCAATTTTGCAACTTAAATAGATGACAGAATTTGGATTTTATTTTATCATTTTATTTTTTTAGGATAAAGATCTAAAGTTTTGCATGCATATTGAATTAAGAAATGATTTCAGTTTGTGTTGTATATTATTTGACACCCTTGTTTTATATTGTGAAACGAATTGGGACCTATCTGGAACGACTCAGCTTTGTTCCAGTACCTCAGTCACGGCGCGCCTTTTCGGCCTGTGTTCAGTGAGATGACTGAGTTATCTCCCTTGTATAGCTGTACAAATGCTCTATAAACTCCACTCGTCTTGGATTTGTCATGTCAATTAAACGCCATTGCAAAATAAAAACTCAAAAACAAAACAAAACTGTGTTTTCTGTTGTATTTTGTTGCATCCCGCATAGATGCATTGCTTGTAAAGTAGTTAATGCAGTAATTAAAGAGACAAGTGGTCTGAAGGATGTGGTTATCAGCAAGAACATTTGGGTAGCACGCTTCTGCTCTCTAACTCACTGCAAATGGCTTAATAAGTGCCCTGGGTTCTGAGAGCTATGTAAGTCAACACTTACAAAATAGGACTACCCATGACCAGTGAGTGTGACTAAACCCAGTCAGCAGATTTCCAGATGTATCACAACGGCCAATAAATGATCAAATCTGGATCAAACAAACCAGTGACTGAAAGCATGGGGACCAATCCATGCCATTAGGGCACGATGACTCCAATCAACCAAGTCACCAAGCCTAACCACTTGATCCACTGGTTGCCCAAATATGATGAGGAAGTGTTATGTGAAGATGGTTCACTGGAAGGAACTGCCTTATCCTGAGGTGAAGTGAAATGGGGTTTAACATGCATCCAAAATTATTGCACTAATATAGCAATGTGCTTGCGTGGCTGCTTGAACTAGTCCAGACTGATGCCAATTTTAAAGTGCTACTTCACTAAGATACCATGCTGCAGTTTAACACGAATAACCCCCTCAGACACAGTACACTGACTCTAAGGGAGGTAGTGCTCTATGGAGAACAAATGAAATAAGTAAACCCCCCTGGTCTAGTCTGAAATATGGGCTTAGACCACAAACGCATGTTTTTAATGTATATTTAACATTTAATTAACATCGCAGGGTTTTATGCAACTCACAAATAAAAAGATTAAATGCAGAATTTATTTCACTGTGTCGCAAGGGACGCACAATAATATTTATAATAATAATACGGGACCCACAGGGTACAGAGAGGGCGTTACTGTGTCCAGGGTAGCTACTCTAACAATTTACTAAGTGCCGTGTACCTATAGTCCAGCGGATACTGTGTCCAGGGTAGCTACTCTGACACATTTGCGCAGTGCAACGTTTAACAGTAGGGCATATAGAGGCAGAAGCTATAACTGCCGAGGGATCCGCGCTTTTTCATCCTACATGTAAGTATTTAAATACACATTTGAGCTTGTTTCGTGTTTCGTTGTGAGTCTGTAAAGTTAAAGAATAACAGAACAAATGATTTTTTTTTTTTTTCATTAACGTCGCCCTCAGCAATATTCCAGCTATATGACGGCGGTCTGTAAATAACAGAGTCTGGAGTCTGAATATAATCCAGTACTGATTGACATAATAAGTATCGATCCACGCAATTAGGATACGATGATATGCATCTACCAAGTCCGCGAGTCTGACCACCCGATCCCGTTAGTCGCCTCTTTATACGACAATCATATTTAGTCGCCACTAACATCAAGCATGGGTTGCTGAAAACCTTTTCTGTACTTCATTGGTCAAAGGATGACGTGACTATCATTCGCTGATGTGTCACAGTAACATGTTTTGTACTTTCTTGTATTTCCCAGTAGGCTAACCCATAACAACGCAATAGCCTGAACCCTTTCTCCACTCAAGCCCTTTCCAGCTTGGGTATTTAGTGGTCACTCCACACATAATCTTCGAAGGATAAACATATTCTCCACCGTGATTCTGAAGGAAATGTCTTTTTGGACATTTTGGATCATATTCCAAGGTTAGAATCTTAATAGTGGACTGAGTATTCTATCCATTAATCGTATTTGCAATATTGTAGATACAGCTTGTATATTTGTATATATGTAATCTTCCCACGGCAAAAGTGTTAACTGACTTTATAAACCGGACTTTTAGAAAGTCAGTTGACACCTTCGCCGCGGGAAGATGGCTGGGATATATGCGTATGTGTTCAGACACGAATACGCGGTACTGTGGATTTGTGATTATTATTGCGTTAAACAACCAAATACGCATCCTTAATTCATTATAACATGTAAAAGCATGAAACTAAAAAGTAATTTTAGTAATCTTAGTAAAGCTCGTTTGTGATATAAGAGGTCAAGCTAAGCCAGCATGCATGTGACGAATGAAGGTAAGCATAGTTGAATAAATGAAGGTAAGGATAAATGAATGAATAAAGGAAAGCAAGCATGGATGAATGAGGCATTTTATAGTATTGTTCTATCATGCTCAGCTGCATGTATACTTGTATACACACACAACAGAAGGTATTAGAGCTAAGTTCTATTAATGTTCCAGGGGCACGGGAAGCCCAGTCGTCTTAGGCGCCGCGTGTTGCGTCCCTCTGGCACGCCAGATTGTGGGTTCGAATCCCGGTTCGCCCCGATTATGTTTCTAGGTTTGTCAGCACCATACCCGTGCTCGTGGATTTCACCGAAGTGGTAAACGTCTGAGACCTGCATCACTTCGGGCTTTCCTCCACATTAAGCTGACACGCCGCGATATAACTGGAATACTGTTAAAAGCGGTGTTAAGCCCAACTCACTTACTATAAATGTTCTTATTGGCATGTCTGCATGTGCACTGTAAAATATTGTTATTTTTAGCCTTGATGCCATTTCCAGTCGACAGTCTGGAGACGTTTCATTACACCATTGCATGACCATGTCTCTGTAGGGGCAATCGCCAACCGCTACATATATAATTGATTGGGGTATACAGACAATTAAGTGGGTCAGTTTGACATCCTCGACTAAACGCTATCGAGGACTGCCATTTGTTTAACGCGTGTCTTATAATACCGTGTATGCCTATACTCGTGTTTAGGATGAGATGATGATGTGAATGTTAACCTTCTAGCACCTCAGAGGCAGCTTGGGTTGAATACTCCCCAGGGAGCTGAGAATGAAAATCGAGTACATGCTGGACTATCAACCGGGGTGATAATGTAGCCCTTTGAGCATG